CTGTTGAGGTTCCAAGCGTACCGTACCGGTACTAAAATGTGACGTGAAACACTGCAGATCACTGATTGGTCAGACAGAATCGTCATTCCCTGCGTCACTACTAGCGTCATTGGATTTGCGACACGAGACACTTTTTTAGCAGTATTTTTGTTTTGCTGCCATCAGCCTCATTTTAAACACATTTTTCCGTCTAGCAGTTAAAAACAACCACATACCGAGAATCAGGAACACCATCCCCTCGATAGTCTCCATTGTTCCTGTGTTGTGGGTTTGAAAATGTGGCGCTTTTAAGATGATGTCATGGCAGTAGAGGCGCGCGCAAATAACGATCAGTCCCACACACTTTGAAGGGGTACTACTGCGGTGGAAACGAAAAGCGTTCCGAACTGTTCCGCGCCGAATCCAACCGTACTGAGCCGAACCGTACCGTACTATGCAGTGGAAAAGCACCATATATGTCGCGGTGACGCGGTCGTACACTTCTGAAGCCGCGGTCGCGCAGAAAATCATAAAATGACATGTAGAGGACTGACGCGAAATGTGTGGAAATTCAGTTGATTGTAGGTTAAGTGAGAAAAAAGTAGGCTATCAGTGCTCTGGTCAACCGCTGTAGAGTGAAAATTGGTGAATGCAGTTTACAGCTTCCATAGAAAGAGAACGAGCGCGTGTGATTGGCAGTGAGCGGACAAAATAGCTCAATACGAGAGGCAACGAGAAACAAAAAGACATGTGAAATAAAATCACATCATAATGTTTTAAAGTAAATAATAACGGTTATATAACGGTTGATGGACGCAGAACGGTGTAAATGTTTTTGTGTGTGTGTGTGTGTGTGTGGGGGGGGGGGGTTCAGGAATGGTAGATTACTATAGATTACTATATAAATGAGATCACATATTCATTTTTCTTGAAAATATTTAGCTATTAGATCTATTTAAATGCCTCAGTTTGTTTTCATATTATAATAATATAATATGTAAACAAATTGAAGCATTTAAACTGATTATAGCTATCACTTCAAATACTTCAATTCGGGTTTTTTAAAATATTATATTATATTATATTATATTATATTGTAGTAGGCCTTTATTTTATTATATTAAAAGCCTAAAAAAAATATTTATATATATATATATATATATCAGCACCTGCGTTAAAATTTATCTGTCGACGTCCCGGCGCGAACTCATTCTGCTCAAGAGAACAGTGCGCGTGATTTAAAATTACCATTATCTTTTGACCGTTATCTTTCTTCTAGGCTTCACTTCAGCCGTTAACGGTAACCCAGCCAGTCCAAGGTAATCTGCTCGATTCAATATATTGTTTTAATTTATAACCAACCTGTTATCTTATCTAGTAAGGCATTACAATCTGATGTAAATGTAACTTAGCCTTATATTTTAGCCAGCATTATTTACAATGTAACGATCTACCGTTCTAACTGTTAACGTTAGCTATAGCTAGCATTGTAGTTTGGATAGCCTTCTAGTTGGATTAAACAATCGAAATCAGCTGTAGATATTGTTTGGCAGCACACTAACAATGTCTGCAAACAGAATGTATTCAGACAGAACACTTAAACGTCAGGCAAAGCGGAGGGCTTACAATATCCTTAGTGAGGTTTGCGTCAATGCTGAATCTGACGCAGCCGACATAAACATATGCCTGGAAAAAACACCCCTGCTGATGATGTGTGGTCAGATGCTGCTTCTGATTGGCCCATGTCCTATGAATCAGACGAGTTAGAGACTGAGTTTAATGTTGACGACAACAAGACTGATGAATTTTGGTCAGATGCTCTGACAGAAACTGACACAAGTGATGATGAATTTGTTGAGTCTGCAGAGTGTCTTGCTGAGGAGATCAGAGGTTGGGCAATAGACAGCCAAATACCACAATGCCATCTAAATGGGCTGTTGGGCATCCTGAGGAAATATCATCCATATCTCCCAAAGGATCCCCGCACTCTTTTAGGGACTCAAACTAATTATGAGGTCCAGGAGATTGCTGGTGGCACCATGCATTATTTTGGAGTGGAGAAAGGCATTAGGGATGTGTTAAACCAGATAGACCCTCTCCCAAAGGCCATTCATTTACAAGTGAATATTGATGGACTGCCTTTGTTCAAAAGCAGTAATAAGCAGTTCTGGCCCATTCTAGGCTTGGTAGAGGAAGACAAAACAAAGCAACCATTCGTCATCGCTTTATATCTTGGATCTAAAAAGCCAGAGAATGTCAATCTGTTCCTAGAATCATTTGTGAATGAATATGGAAAGCTTAAACTAGAGGGTGTGGATGTAATTGGCAAATGTGTAGAAATTAAAATTTCTAATTTTGTTTGCGACGCTAGTGCAAGGGCTTTCGTAAAAAAACATTAAAGCCCACAATGCATATCACGGCTGTGAAAAATGCACACAGGAGGGAACATGGGTGGAAAATCGCATGACTTTTCCTGAAGTAGATTCACCTTTACGGACAGATACGTCTTTTATTAATAAAGACGATGAGTTTCACCATAAAGGGACCAGTGTGTTGTCAAAGGTTGGAATTGGTATGGTCTCCCAATTTCCATTAGATGTTATGCATCTGGTTTTTCTTGGGGTTGTGAGAAAGTTGATAGGGTTTTGGATGAGGGGACCACTTCCAACTCGTTTAGGTGCTCATCAGATAGGCCTAATTTCTGCAGCGCTTATGTCCTTTGCCTTGAGACTCCCCAGAGAGTTTGTACGAAAAGGGAGATCCCTTGTTGAGGTAGATAGGTGGAAAGCAACAGAGTTCAGAACTTTTCTTCTGTACACTGGTCCAGTTGCACTGAAAGACCATCTGCCGAATGTTCTATACCACAATTTTATGCTTCTGCATGTAGCCATTCGAATATTATGCTGCCCCTCACTCTGTCTCCAGTACTGTGATTTTGCTGAAAAGTTACTAATCACATTTGTCGAGCATTTTCAATCTGTCTATGGTAATTACGTTGTGTATAACATACACGGCCTGACACATCTTGCCAATGATGTAAGGCAGTTTGGTGTGCTGCATAATTTCTCAGCTTTTCCATTTGAGAACTTCCTCTACACATTAAAAAAAATGACTAGGACCCCTACACAGCCCCTTCAACAGATCATCAGGAGATTGTCAGAAAAAGCAAGTGTCAGAACTAAAATAAAGGTGTGCAAGGATGGTTTTTACCAGGAACATAAGAACGGGCCTGTTCCATATGATGTGACATCTCAGCAGTTCACACAGTATAAGAAATATGTAAATGGTGGAACTTTAATTAGTTTATCAGAGGGAGACAATTGGCTTTATGCACAGCTGCACTACTTCCTGAACTTCAGCCAGCTCCTTGTTTCCTGTCTGCCATTATTGGTCAAATTGATTAATTTATGTGTGCTTGACCTCAATAGTCTTGGCAACAATAATCAGACACACCTGAATTAATCAATTTGGCCAATAATGGCAGACAGGAAACAAGGAGCTGGCTGAAGTTCAGGAAGTAGTGCAGCTGGGCATAAAGCCCATTATATCCAGTCCAATGGAGATATTTATATAGTTAAAAACATTTTAAAAGACAAGGAAGCATCACATCTAGTCTGTCTTAAATTCCAAAACAAGTCATCATTTTTCACCTATCCCATTGATTCATCAAGTCTTGACATAACCTTTGTGAAACAACCCGGGCAGTCATTGACTATTGTTCCTACACAGACTGTTTCAAAAGTTCTTCTTTTACAGTAAGTACCCCCCCCCACCATTAGGTACAGACCTTATCAATCATAAGAAATAGTAATAATAAGACTAGGAATTATTTTAATTAATTAGATTTCCACTGGGTAATTAATAGAGCTACAATAAATGTATAAAGTTGTAACACTATATATATTTTTTTTATATTTTTTTTTTATAGATGTATTCAATAGTTGTTTTTACTGAAAAGAATGAGACAGAGGTAATACCAAGTGACTGGCTGAGCGTCGACAAAAAAATTTCCTTTTGGCCTCCATATAACAGTACAAAATGTAGAAAAGCGGTTGAAAAAAATGAAACTCCTGATGAAGAATGGGACGAATATATAACTGAATGGGTAGCTGAGTATGGTAAGTCTTTGAGGAATTAAATATGAATTATTATTGAGAAATATAGAGAAATAACTATTCAAAAATTAAAAGATGCTCCTTGTGAGTTATGCCAAGCAGTTCTTTTCAAATGTTCAGATAATAGGCTTAGTGATGTTATTTGTTTCTATGTTTAGATTCCTATGAAAAAGCCAGAAGAAAGCTGGTTAAGTTTTGTAAAGGCAACAGTTTGGAGTCTACAAATGAGGACAGTGTACGGAAAAGAGTGTATGCTTCCTCTGTTCTTCTCCTTTTATAGCCTACTGCTTATTTGCACTGAGCTTTTACAAAAATTGATTACACTTAATGTGTCCAACAGACCATCATCAAAATATGTAAATGCATTTCCATCTGATTGATACCGCCTCAGGAAGACCTCCAGTGCAGGCCTCAACAAGCGGGCACAGGTACAGACGAAAACAGACAGTGGTCATTGCATCATTTCTCAACATATCTGGTCACCACAGATTCCTTAAATCCAAGACTTGACAATATGGTCCCCTTAGAATTAATTAAAGTAATTTCCTTTGTCTGAGCCACAAGAAAGTGTTTAATGTAAGGTAAAAAAAAAAATCACTGCTCTTATGTATTAACCTTAGAAATTTAGCCAAATGAATGTATAAACTGTGTGTTGGAAATTACAGTATAAGGTTATATCTCACATTTTTGTCAAAATTAAGTTGTAGTAAACTATATTTAATTATGTTGAATTATAATAATATGTTGAAAGGAATTTTTGAACAGTGGTCACTTTCCTGTTGTATAAGATCGCAGCGAAGCTCTGGATGGAAGTAAATGTTGTGATGTCTGACAATGTATTGTACATTATACTGATTCTGTTTCTCACTGTTCCATATGCAGAGACAATGGAAAGACCAAAAAAAAAAAAAGATTCTGCAGTAATGGAGCCAAAAGCCCGACTTTGCCAGCCATACCACCATTTGCACCATCAGCAGCTGCTGTGACAGTCCCTGAACCAAGACAAGATGGTAAGTAGAATTAACTCCTTACATAGCTTTTAGTAATTACCTTTAGTCTCTAACTTGGATTAGACACTGTTCAAGGAACAAAATAAAATATATGTAACCAAAAAGGAGAATAAAACCAACTTCCCCTGGCTAAGTTGTACTATTTTCAAATGATAAACTTTTTAAGCCTTGCTTTTGACAATTAGCATTAATATCAATGTGCTTTGATTTACAACCATTTTTTTAAATTGTGACATTAAGTGAAATGCAACATAAAAACAAAATTCCAAATCTTGTAAAATCATATTTTGCTTTAAACGGACATTGACAACACATTAAATGTTGAAAATGTCAAATTTTACTATTTTATGGGAAATGGGAGCAAATTTTAAATTTATTGCGTCTCAAAAAAGCTGGGATGGATTCAACAAAAGGCTGTTAAAGTTATGATAAAGACAACAAAAGAAGAGGTGCAGTTTCTCTCTTTATACGTTCAATTTTGTGTAGTTATAATGTTGCATCGTATGTTTGTCTGATTCAGAAAGAGAACTCCGGCTCTACCAGATGCTGGAAGAGATAAAGGGTCAGGTCAGGCAGAATACGCTCCTCCTTCAGGCGATTTTGCGAAGAGAGAATGCTGCTGAAGTTGTGAATGAGGAGTTTCAGTTTCCATTAAGGAGCATGACCGGCATAAAAGATTTGGAGGATAGGCTGTCAAACAGAGACACACAACGTTCTCTAGTAAATTCTAAAGTTCTTTTTCTTAACTTAAACGAATACTAACATATTATTAATATCTAACTATATTATATTATATTTATAAATCTAGACCTGGTTTACTGGTGCTTAACACATGTTTTTTTTTTTTTTTTTCAAAGACAAGATATCTTACCAGCTTGGGTGGAACATCTGCTAAAGACATTGTCCACAGAATGATCAGGGAAATAATGACCAATGCGTTGGCCAACAATTTTAATTGGCAAGGGAGAGGACAGAAGAGCCCATTTTCTACACTTTTGCTAGCAAAAGTTGTCATAGGTGATGTGTTTAAAAAAAAAAAAACATTCAAAACTAAGACATAACTTGTCTTGAAATTGCAAAAGAGAAAACAACCTATTACAGTTTCACATAATGTGTCATTGAATGAAATGCAATGGAAGTAAAAAAAATGTTCTTTAATGTCATGCTGACAGATGCAGCCAAAAGACAAGGGGCAAAAGTGGTGGAAGCAGAGGAAAAAATAAAAACCTGGCTGAAGTATAGTGGAGACCGAAATGGAGGAAGAAAAAAAAGAGCAACAGAAAAAGGTACACAAGGCATTTTTAAGGCTGATCCAAAATGTTATTAATTATTATATATATATATATATATATATATATGTTCATATATACATTTTAAGTAATTTACATTTTGATAATTACTATATTTTTTCTTTAACACAGAAAAGCAGATGCCTCCCCCTCAATTAGATTCCAGCAGCAGTGAAAGTGAATGTAAGTGTCTTCCAATAATTGTTTTTTTTTCTTCCTCTGTCTAACCCCACCACTAAACAGAGGTATTTCATCTTTACTAGGCGTACACTATAGATGTATAATAAATTTGCTACCCCAACATGATGAAAATCTCTTGCTGGCGAGAAAATAAATCCTACTTTTCCCCCAAAAAAATATACACTCAAAAATAAAACGACACATATCTTAAATTCTCTAAAAAGTTGTTTATGTTTGTTGTTATTTAACAGGAGTATGCTGCTTCTCCTCCTCCGCTCCGTCTTCATCGTCAGAGCAACTCAGTGTTTTTTGTTTGTTTGTTTTTTTTTCTTTGCCATCTTTTTGTCAATTTTTGGTTCCTTGTTGATTTCGTTGGCTTTATTTTAATTTTGTTTGCATTTTTTTTACATAAATAAGCATTAATAAGTTAAACTTGTCACCAATAAAAAGGGTCATTTTATAACCAATTAAGTTTGTCTGTTGTGCCGTCTCGTAATGCAATTCAACAATGAACAGGCCATTTCACAATCTTAAAATTTGAGTGTAAAGTAGCCTAGTTAAACCTATTTATTTATAAGTTTGCGAAGGTCTGCTGACTGCTGAACCAACGTTATAGAGATCTTCTGAGTCTGATCTTCAGTCTCTTCTGAGGCAGACCATGAGCGGGCTAGCTAGTGGCTCATTGGTTCGCTCAGAGAGAATGCACGAACCTATGGGAGAGCGGCGCTGAGTCCGCGGCCAATGAGTGGACGGCGCTCGCTCACTGCGTCACAGCCCGCCAAAAGGGGCGTGGCTACAGTTATATTAATATTATTATTATTATTATAAAGGTAGCTCTCCCAAGCTAGTTCGTCGATTCTTTTTCATTCAGCGAGCTACACGCATCCGCTGTCCTGGGAAGAAGCCGCCGTCGTCGAGAAGGCACCCTCTAGCGAGCTCCGGAGTCTGAGGAAGCCGGCCGTCTGCCACCTTCAGCCGCCCAGCAAGCTAGCGCCATCCGACGCGTATCCTTTATTCCACCCTTTTCACAAAAGAGCCGAGCGTCTTTTTCAAGATGCCTCGTATTTCCTGCGGCTCATGCCGCTCTTCACTCGAGGAAGGAGACCGCCACCCCATCTGTGTTCTCTGTCTCGGAGTGGATCACGCAGAGCTCGCCCTCGCCAACGGAGGATGCGACCACTGCGAGGACCTGCCTCTGTCCTCCCTGCGGGCTCGACTGCAGGCGGTCAAAACCGCTCCCGCGCCACCTCTCACTTCGCCGCGGAAGAAGAAACGCCGCTCCCAGAGGCCGCCGGAGCCCCCTGCGGATCCATGTGGGCCGCCGCCCACCGACCGCTCTCCCTCTCCGCCCCTACTGGACATACAGTTGCCGCCGAGTGGCCGCTCTGTCGCCTCCGACGACACTGCGGATGAGAAGGACTCCTGTTCGCTGCACGCTTCTGACAGCGAGGATTGGTCGTCGATCGGCTCATCGTCGAGAGAGTCTGCGGGGACCCGCGCCGGCATCGAGGAGGAACTAACGCGCCTCCTTTCGCAGGCCGTCAACCGCCTGGGTCTCGAGTGGTCTCCTCCCCCCGAGCAACCACCGAACCGCATGGATGGGAAGTTCCTGCACCGGCGCCCGGCCCCCGCCTGCAACTGGGCTGCACCATTCCTGCCTGAGCTTCACAACGAGCTCACGAAATCCTGGAATGCCCCTCTTTCGGCTCGTAACCGCTCCGATGTGTCCGCTTTGCTGTGCTCAGTGGACGGAGCCACCGAGAAGGGTTATACTGCCATGCCGCCCGTCGAGGACCTGGTCGCCGCTCATCTTTGCCCGCCCTCTGCTAGATGGCGTTCTTCCCCTACGCTTCCTTCTAAAGCGTGCAGAGCGACCTCTAACTTTCATGCCCGCGCCTATGCTGCCGCCGGACAGGCCGCTTCAGCGCTGCATTCCATGTCAGTCCTCCAAGTGCTCCAGAGCGACATCTTGTGCGAGATGGCGAACAGCGGTAGGAACCCGCCCATCCTCTCGGATCTGAGAAGCGTTACGGATCTTTCCCTTCGCGCCACTAAAGCCGCCGCACAAGCCCTGAGGAAATGCATGGCCGCCCTCTGTGTCGCTGAGAGACACTTATGGCTCACGCTTACCGACATGGGAGATTCAGAACGCGCCGTGTTCCTCAACGCGCCTATCTCTCCGACCGGTCTCTTCGGATCTGCCGTCACGGGCATCGTTGACCGCTTCTCCGAGGTACAGAAAGCGACTCAGGCCATGAACTTGTTCCTGCCCCGCCGCACTAGCTCTTCGGCCA